CGTGGCACTTCAAATGGCTTAATTATTTACTGCTTGGTGGATATGGAGACACTAATTATTCCATTACTTAAAAACTAAATCTATATTCACCTATTTCTATTTTCCCCGTTCATTTAATATATCTTTTTATTTATTTAAATGACTTATTATATAAACATCCATGCCAGCCTTGTCTTTGGGAAACAGAATTTGCAACACAGCCATTTGCCATTTCAAATATTGAACCGAAGACAAATGGTGAAATCAGTCAATATGTATTAGACGAGTTAACGTTAAGATCAGACAAAATCTGACCCAAAACTTAGAAAATAAAATCAAATAAAATAATCAATTACTGCCTGGATTGCTACATTTTTATAAGAAGCCAATAAATTAATTGATATTCTTGTAGAATTGAAATATTGATATGGCGCGACCCTTTTGAAAGCAACTTAGCGTTGATCTGATTAGCACCAGCCGAACAACAATTGAACGCATCCGACAGAACCGTTTATCCCTTTGGCCACGGAAAGTTATGAAAAGCGGGATTTGAGCATCAATTGGCTATCAAGACTAATTTAATAACTTGAACAAATTAGTTATTGGTCGGGACTATGACCTTGTGATGAACATTTTCCAAGAATTGAAAAATTGCCTGTTAAGCTTGATACGACGTTACGAGACAATCAATGTATCCGGTTCGCCCACCCCAACCTCTGATCGTCGCGAATTTCCGCACGATTGCTGTGAAATAGGGTTGTTTTTGTTACAATTTAACGCACCAAATGATCAATTCTTTTTAATCAAGATATTAAATGGGAATTGATCCAACTCACATTGATATGTCTTGTATTCAGGACGGGTTAGGCTTTGGTATGGTTATCTTATTTCTATATATCAGAAAGATTATATTGAAATATTTCACACGAGAAGTGCTAATATAAGGTAATGGGTATTGATTTATTCCTGAACTTTATATTGTGTACAGGAAATTGAAGCCGTTTTAGATAATATTAACACCAGACGCGCTTTTGTTAGGGCTCTTTCTTATGTTCCAAATCCCATTGAACAATCCCAATCAATTTTAAATTATGTCTTCTATTATTTCCGTTTTCCCCGCCCATCATTTGTGAACAGGAGGGGCTGGATGGTCGAATGGGCTAATTGTGCGCGCTTTATATCACAAGGTCTGTCAATGAGTCAAGTTGCGTGGTTTCGAAACCCATCTTGGTCGAATGGGCTAATTGTGCGCGCTTTATATCACAAGGTCTGTCAATGAGTCAAGTTGCGTGGTTTCGAAACCCATCTTGTAATAGTCGAATTGCCTGTCCAACCTCGTTGGTTTTCTCTGGTTTCCTCCTACTACTAAGATCGAAATTTAGATTTAGTTTACTTGCTAACAGAATTGCGATTCTTCCGCACAATCCAATGAACAATCCGATCGTCAGTAATCCTGTTCTGTAGGTGTTCCAACTTAAACGGGGACGAAAATCGTTACTGTTTGTACGTGCGTGCGCGTTAGGTCGTCAGGTCGGTTACTGAGTCAAATGGCGTGGTTTCGATTTCCCGCTTGTACGTGACAAGGAGTGCGATCGCCTGTCCAACCCCAAGGACCCCTACGCGCAATCGAATTATTGAAATGAAAACAAAAAAGAACCATGTTAGTCCCGAAACGTAAAATACGATAGTAAAATACTTATTTTCTTGAGGCCCCGTCGCTATGACCCCATAAATAAATTTGCGTAAGAAACAAAAGGAACTCTGATCTGTGAAGATAAGACAATGTCTCGAAATTGTGTGACTGTTTCTCGTCGCGGGGGAGGGGGGTACTGCTTGTACGTGCGTGCGCGTTAGGCCATCAGGTCGATTATTGAGTCAATTGGCGTGGTTTTGATTTACCGCTTGTACGTGACAAGGAGTACGGTCGCCTGTCCAACCCCAAGGACCCCTACGCACAAGCGAATTATTGAAATAAAAACAAAAAAGAACCATGTTAGTCCCGAAACGACCTAGTTTTTGTCAAGTGGACGTTAAACCCCACCTCTCTCTCTCTCTCTCTCCGAACCCTTGATGTTGCCGCGTCTTGGGCAGTGTATACAGGATGATTCTTAATCTTACCGCTGTAGGTCATTTTTATGTTCAAAGTATTTAATCATGTTTTATACCTTTGATGTCTCTTGGACCCTTCGTCCTGCACCCTTGACCGTGCTGGAAAATTACGTTGAATGGAACCCGGGGCCTTCTATTTAACGAGCCATTGTGGTTCCCTGGTAATGATATGTGGCTTAGAAGGCCCTGACACAGCAGCCGTGATATCCTTTTCCCAATACATGCAAGGATTGATATCCTCCGATTGTCGCTAATAATAACAAACTCACCAGACAGATCAACGTTTTTAGCAAGCCTTCGTAATTAATAAGATATGAGCTACAGCGGCGAGTGTGAAATTTTTATTTGGTGAAAATAGTGTTTACTGAGAAATGGCAGTTTCAACAAATCAAATAAAGGGATAATTTCAGCTATTCTTTCGTTTTGTGTTTAAAAGTTGGCCATTTATTTTCAGGCGCTGCTAGCGTAGCATTAGAAATGGTCCCACTACTAATGTCTTCCGTCTTACTCCAGCCACAGTAGTGGATCGTCCTAAGGCCTTCCTTTGGACAAGTTTTGGTTACTGGCCTATAACTCCCTTAATATCCAATTAAACTGACCCCAGACTGTACTGCACATAGCCTAACATGTAATAAACCAATTCCCATCGAAATAAAGATGAAACCTTACCGCATAATTATATGATTTGATTAAACCCAACTTCTATGCGAAATTTCTGTTCATTTTAAAATGACCGCTGAACCAGAATCACTCACGTCACTCGAAAATACAGAAAAACTGTTCGGTTAGGTAAGATTAAGTTTTCAGTGGCCCACTTTTACTTGCGCAAAGCCTCAAATAGTGTATCAATTGTAGCCTCGAATATGACAGGACGTGGGCACAGTATTGTAGATAGAGTAGCATACGCGTATACAAACTATACAGTAATTACTTTTTTAGCCGATAACTTCTGAAAGAGGTAACATTTTGAAACCAAGTTTACAGGATAGGGAATAGGGATGCATAGTAACATTTGGAATACTCAAGGGTCGAATGAGCTGGATATTGACTAAAATTGATCTCAGCTCTCATAATTTAATTTTAGGTTCTCATAATAATTAGGCATTTCTACAGTTGGGATTAAGCGAATATTGTATGCTATGAGATAAGGCCTAAAACGAGGAGAAGAATCCGAGCGATATTCACTGTACGAGCATAACGCTGCACAGAGTCTAAAACCTAGCTATTATGGGTTAAAATTATAGACCTACATGTATGTGATTGTGAATATTTCTACCGAATTCGAAACTGTGATTTGATCACAATACATAAAAAAACGGTTACGGTCATTTGATTGGATGAGAAATAAAAATAAATTCAAATTTGTAGAGCAAATAGGAAATCCGAGTCTACCCATGATTTACGAGGTGTCCTGAAAATCTTTCATGTCTGAGTCGATACGAAAGTTGACTTAGTACAAAAATATAGATCGTCTATAGGATCTATTATCTAGTATTCATATTCACCAAAGCCACACCTAACTAATCAGACCTAGAGTTGGCCTAGATAGTACTAAATTGCCACACCGCCATTAAAGTAAATCAACGGTTGACAATTTTTGAAGATAATTAATTGAAGGGACATAACTCCATTTTGTAACTACAAAATCTCAGACTAAAAATCAACCCATGTTGATAGAGCTAGCTAGGAAAACTGTGTTTTTATAATAACCCTAAATATGTATCAGTTACATAATACATTAAAAAGAGTTTAATACTGGCAGTTGGATGTTCGTAGACTATTAAGTAGTTTAAAGTTGTCTAACTGTATTATTAGGGATCAGTGGCGGTGCCAGCCGTCGGTGATTGGAGGGGCAAAGCTGGGGCAAAGTCCAAGGTTAAGGGGGAAAAGGCATGAGCTTTAACTAGGGGTAGAGGGCCTCCCCCAGAAATTTTTGAAAAACAGGTTGCCGGAAATGCAGACTGGCAGTATTTCAGACACTGATCAATGAGGTAAAGTGTCAAACGAACGGACTTGCGAATCACGACAAAGCCCACCCAAGAGCGTCAAAGTAGGGAGTCCTCCCCCAGAAAATTTTGAAAAATAGACTGCCGGAAATGCTGTCTTACAGTCTTCTGTCAGGCACCGATCGTCGAGATAAATAGATCTGACCAGATACCGCCCGTCGCCTGATCACTAGTTTATCCGACTAGAGAACAAAATGTCAAACGAACGAACTTACGAACCTCAACGAATTCCACTTGTGAGCGCCAAAGTAGCGAGTCTATTGGGGACCTCGCCAAGAAAATTTCTACAACATGCAAGTTTATGACTGAGTGGGGATGTGGGATTTATTCACCGTAGATGGTATTGAATACCGAAACGTATCACAAATACTTTTTTTTATTTTCTAAAATTATTGGGGGGGGGGGGGCACCAACTGTACTAATGAAGTCTGACATAAGCTATGAGGGAAATGAAATGAGGTTTAACATTCTATTTTTCTACACCAACTGGGCTAATAAAGACATGCTATGAGAGAAATCTTGCCCAGACAGTGGTACTATGGTCTACTCTTATTTAAAATTCTAACTATCATGGGTTCTTTTTAGTGCATGCCAATATGTACACTGGACCTTGGACTTTCACCCCATCTAATTGATGTCTACTTCAGGCACAATGATGAAGGGGAAACCACACTGGAAATTTTGTGGAACTTTCGAAGTCAACACAAGGATCAAACCCGAGATCTCCTGGTTAGCTAACCAGCACCCAAATCCCTGAGCCACTGCGCCTCGCAAGTGGTGAGGGAAATTTTGCTTGGACAGTGCCGCTACGATTTCCTCTTATTGCTATTTCCATCTGTCGACGGATAGATTTAAAGAAGTAAGGCACTCAGCCTGTATATGAGAAAAATCAGAAAAAATTAGCCATAAAAAAAGAGTTAAGAGTGCTATGATAATGATAAATTCCCACCATTAAACACTCCTATGTTTTATTAGTTTATATTAATATAAAATATATAATTATACAATATTTCTGTTCTATTTTTTCTTAAGTATTTTCACATAATTCCATCCATTTTTCCAATAATCCCAACCAGACCAAAAAGTTGTGACCGCAGTAATATACCTGAAGTAAAAACAAAAGGAAATTAAATGCCACTCTGACAGATCCAACAGTGCTACAGTCTTTTTAAGATTAACATAGTGTAAATATTTTATTTCATCATTATTATGTGTTCAATTCTAGGAAAATACATTTGCCCTTTGTACATTCACTTAATTCAATTTCAACTGTAACAAGAATTTTGGTTCTTTAATAGTACTCCATACATACATTACATACATACATACTGTACATGTATTACTCTTCATAATGAAACAATATATTACCAAAGTGTTTGTAAGGCTGGGTGGTCTATATAGTTAAATACAGGTGCTGCCAAGGTTAAAGCCACCAATGATAATTGTAAGGCTGTATTGGCCTGTAACAGTTTGAAAACAGAAGACTTTCAGTATTATGGTGAATGAATTAATACAAAAATGTTTACATGGACACTGTAAATTATTAATGTCAAAATAGATTCATTAATATCAATAACAATAACACTTTAGGCGATACTCAGGAATTATATTTTTTAATTATCAAGTTTCATTAGTAAAATTTTGCTTACCTTACTTAATGTTGAAGGATATAACTTGGCTGAGGGTTTATTCAAATTAAAAAATCTTGCGAAACTTTTCTTTACAGCAATAAAAAAAAGGAAACAGATTGCTCTATATTTTAATAAGCTTACATCACTTCATCCTCTTGTAACAGGGTATGAATAATACTTCAATATGCTATGATGTAATACTACCATGATAAATTACTGTTGTTAATTTAAGGATAACCTGTGGACTGGTCTGCTTGGAAACAATGCAATATTGTTTAAAAATTACAGCCTATTCTCATTGACAGTATACTTTAAATCAAGTGCTTCCAAATTAAATCAAACAGAGATTCTATTTATAATCTGTAAGCCTGATAAAACAGACAATTTAACTAGATAATTTAAACAGAGAGCAGTACACAGATTTTATCTTGAGGATGGGAAGATAACATCTCCAATACTTAAAAATTACATTTTGTATTTAATAGAATTTTACACATAATATTAGGTAAACAGAAAAACAAATCAAATAGTGAAAAGAATTACTTACAGGTGGAGATAAAGATATATATCGTATATAAAAAGATGCACCAATTAACGCCATGTCCCGACTGACTATTAATGCTGTTAACCATACTATTAAAAGAAATATAAACAATTATGAAGGTACATGTAGAAATTGTTGTTACTTTTTTAAGTAGCAAATTACAGCATAACCACAGTTTATATATTTTGGGCTCAATCCTTAACACTTTACAATATTGTAAGTGATTTTATCAAGAGCATGGAAAACCAGCGGTTGCCAGGCAAGATATGCCCACATTTTGCAAGAGATGGATAGAGAACAAGCTAAAAACAAAAGCTATTTTTCGTACAATCAGGGGCCATAATCCAGAAAGTTATGGCCTGAAATGAGAAAATATCAAAAGGGACTGAGATCTGTGGGATATAAAGATATATTTTAAGTTTCAACAAAACTGGATAAAAATTGTGACCTCTGGAGCGGCCATTTTGTCGGGCAGTTTCATTTAGATTTTCCCAAATTTCGAATTCAGCCTTCATTATGGTGGAATGTTGATATATTTAAACGTTTTTTAAAATCGGATAAAAAATTGTGACCTCTACAGAATCCACTAGCTAAAAATGTGATTTTTCGAACAATCAGGGGCCATAATCCAAGAAGTTATGCACGATTATCAAAATGAACCAAGATCTTTGTGATATAAACATAAATTTAAAGTTTCATCAAAATCGGATAAAAATTGTGGCCTCTAGAGTGTCCACAACCTTGATATACCATTTTGTCCGGCAGTTTTGGTCCGATTTTCACAAAATTCAAACTCAACCATCATTAGTGTGTAACGGTGATATATTCGAACATTTTTATTAAATCAGATAATAATTGTGACCTCTAGAGGGACCACAAGCTAAAAATGGATTTAGCGTACAATCAGGGGCTATAATTCAGGAAGTTACGATCCAATATGCGTGAATGTCGAAAAGAACCAAGATCTTTGGGTTATAAACATGTATTTCAAGTTTCTTCAAAATCAGATAAAAATTATGAACTCCAGGGGGTCCACAACCTGATATACCAGATGTTTACACAATTTGCGTAGGAGCGGCGAACATTTTGTCCGTTAGTTTTGGTCAGATTTTCACGAAATTCAAACTCAATTGACACTACGGTGTAACAGTGATATATAGAAATGTTTTTTTTCAAATCGGATAATAATTGTGACCTCTAGAGGGACCACAAGCTAAAAACGTGATTTTTCGTACAATCAGGGGCCATAATTCAGAAAGTTGCGATCCGATATGCGCAAATATGGAAAGGAAAAAAATCTTTGGGTTTTAAACATGCATTTCAAGTTTCATCCAAATCGGGTGAAAATTGTGACCTCTAGAGTGTCCACAAGCCAAAAACATGATCAGAGGCTTAGTTCATGAAGTTATGATCCGATACATGCCAATATAAAAGGAACCAAGATCTTTGTGAGATAGACCTATATTTCAAGTTTCGTCAAAATCAGATAAAAATTGTGATCTGTTGAGTGTCCAAAAATTTTAAGAAATAAAATTTAAAGTTTGTCATTTGGGAAGTAAGAGCAGAAATGGAAACTTTACATCATAATCCTACTTAGTGCATTCTGATGTAGTATAATGTATATAAGTAATATATTTGACAATAAAAAGTTAACAATATTACCAGGTATAAGATTAACTATAGTAAGGGTAATAGTTAACACACTGACTAGTAATTTATCAGCTAGAGGATCTAATTGTGTTCCTAAAGCTGTTCTCTGGTTTGTGAAAGACCTTGCAACATATCCATCTAACTAAAATAAAAATAATTAAAGAAATACAAAATTATTATTATGTATTATAAAAGAAACATTTCTAGCAAAGGCAAGCATCAGTGATGCACATAATTTCCATATTTTCAAAACAAAGAACTTTGTTTTTAATAATACTTACTAAATCAGTGAAACCAGCAAAAACAAATAATCCTAAGCCCCATTCATATGCTCCAGTTGTCACCATGTAACCAAGAAATGGAGTAGAAATAATTCGCATTGTAGTTAACAAATTAGGAATGGTCATAATATTTTCTTTCTAGAAAAATAAAAGGAAATTAAGTAATTAATATCTCTGCACATCATCTGATGGACTGAGAAATGCCTTGAAATATACACTAAAGATCTCTAAAAGGAATATTACTCGAGTTAACCAGCGGCTGCCAGGCAGGATACGCCCACATTTTGCAAGAGATGGATAGAGAACAAGCTAAACAAAAAGCGATTTTTTGTAACATCAAGGGCCATAATTCAGGAAGGTAGAGGAACCAAGATCTTTGGGTTATAAACATGCATTTCAAGTTTCATTAAAATCGGATCAAAATTGTGACCTCTAGAAGGTCCACAACCTTGATATACCAGATGATTACACTATTTGGGTAGAGGGGCGGCCATCTTGTCTGGCAGTTTTTGTCTGATTTTCACGAAATTTGAACTCAACCATCATTTCGGTGTAACGGTGATATATTTGAACATTTTTGTAAATCAGATAATAATTGTGACCTCTAGAGGTACCACAAACTAAAAATGTGATTTTTCGTACAATCAGGGGCCATAATCCATGAAGTTATGGTCCGATACATGCCAATATCTAAAGGAACCGAGATCTTAGGGAGATAAACCTATATTTCAAGTTTCGTTGAAATCGGATAAAAATAGTGACCTGTAGAGTGTCCACAAACAATTGTGGACGGACGGACAGGGTCGACGACAATATACATCCACATGAAAATGTGGGCATTTAAAAATGGTTTATTTCCATTCAGTATTTAAATATATGAATTGGAAATTCATTTGGCATCCTCTGGAGACCATTAACTGAATATGGTCAAAAGCCAGCACCACTTGTAATCTTTGCTACAATTTTTGGACGGGCCTCTGTTTAATTCATTTGAATCTAAACTAAAAGATGATCTACTTTACATGTAGATATTTATACTGGTATTGTCAAAAATTGTCAAAATGGTATTTCATATTTTACAAAATTGATTAATATCTACCGGTACCTAAAATCCAATAATAATCTTTAAGCTTACATATTCCAATTTATGATCCTGCATATGTTTATCCTTTTCTTCTGATATTCTTGATGAACTTTTGTCAGTGTATGGTTTTGACATCTGGTCAGGGAAAAATACATTTTGGAAGATTTTGTCAATAAGTGGCACACACAATAATTGCGATTTTTGACATAAATTACCATTACTCAGTTTTGCACGAATTGTCACTCTGCTCAGGTGATGGTATCTATACTTAGCAATGCATAACATTGAAATTTTTCTGTCAGCTGTTATTAAATAACTGTTTGGTATGCAATAGAATGAATATTTCACTATTCTGTGTTTAAATAATGAAATACATCTACTGTAACAAGCCATTTTATTTTAAAATAAAGAAAAAAAAATTATATTAATGAAAATGCATATTACGAGAAAATGCAAAATAAAAGGATGAGTTTATATAAAAAAAACAAATAATTTCAGCAACAATTTTAAAATTATAGTCTATGTCAACTATGTGTATTTAGTCATCTTGTACGCGATACTTAATATAAATATTCTAAAAAAGTTTTAATTTGTCGGCGAGGAGTTCCATCACAATGACATTCAAAACACATAACAAGTCAAAATATATTTATTGCGCACACCATGCCACACACTTGAAAGGTTGGCATCACTGTATTTGACGATAGTATTTCGTTAGAAATATTTAATTGCGATAAAAGTCTTGAAAGTCATTTTCCTGAACACCAAAATCACTGGAGGCTGCCATTTTGAAATAACCTCTAAGCTTTCTTATGAGAATTCGGGAATTATTTCCATATTGTCATTATATCTCTGTAATAAGAATCACTGACATTTTATGAAAAGTAATTTACAGCTCAAACTATTCCGAAGGGTAATGTTTTGGAGGGCATATCAATGACAAAAAACTATTATTCCAAAAAACATTTCGGAGTAGAGATTAAAGTAGCTAAGTCTTTGACGTCTGGTTATTCCAGTCTATACCGGTAGTATTCTCCTATGGGCAGTCGGTCGCAAAATAAGTGCAGTCGATCTCAAAATAAATGCTCACTGAATTAATACAAACAATGCCAAAATGGAAGGAAAATCCCAAATTATTTTATGTATTTGCGTGAATCCGTGCACCTAAATTGTATACGCCACGCTATACTCATAAAATAAAATAACCTTGTCAACTTATCATTTGTTTGAAAAAATGTTGGGTTTTTTTCACCCTTATTCTGTTGTGAGTTGGTCTAAGCACAGAACTAAATATTTAGTTCTATGGTCTAAGTAAAAAAAAATCTCCCAAGGAGAAAAATAGTCGGTCGCAAAATAGATGCAATCGGTCACAAAATAAGTGCAGTCGATCTCAAAATAAGTGCTCACTGAATTTATACAGGAAAGGAAAAATCCCAAATTGTATGTATTTGCTTGAATCCGTGCATCTAAATTGCATACGTCAAGCTACTCGCCCAAAACTTTACTATAAAATTACCATGTCAACTTATCATGTTTGAAAAATTGTTTTTTACCTATATTCTGTTGTGAGTTGGTCTAAGTAAAAATAATCCCCCCAGGGACAAAAATAGTCGGCCTCAAAATAAGTGCAGTCACTGAAGTCGGTCTCAAAATTATGCATCTACGACTGACGAAATGAATTAATGGGACAAACAAATAATACCAGAATAGAAGGGAATAAAACCTCAGATACTTAATATACGTGCACCTAAATTTCTTACATCACATAGTCGGTCTCAAAATAAGTGCTCACTGCAGTCGGTCTCACACTAAATGATTTAATGAGGTACACAATGCTAAAATAGAAGGGGACAATTTTCTGTGAATGCGTGCACCTAAATTGCAACGGTATAGCATAAAATAACCTAGTCAACTTTTCATGTTTGAAAAAAAAAATTTCCCTGTTATGAGTAGCCTATGTTGGTCTAAGAAATTGAGAGGGCTTGGTGCGAAGATTTTGATAACTTAAATTATATTATTGATTGTCATACGAATAACATTATAAGTCGTAAGCATAGTTTGTTTCAGAAATACGTAAAAAATCTTTAAATTATGAAATGTTAAGACGATCTATTGTACTTTAGAATTTTTACTTGTTGCATATTTAATCCCGGTAGAAATTAAAACGTATTTTACTCATGTTGTAAGTATGTTGCAAAACCTTTCCCCAGATCCCAAAGTCCAGTAAATGGCATTTCAGAGACCAAGTAATCGCCCCCGTGAGACAAAGTCCACTCAGGCCCAGTACCCAAAAATTAAAAGCCCAGTTACATAATCTAAATGTTTCTTCGCGCCTACGGCGCTCAATTCTATTGTGTCATTATTCTTCAACTCCTGTCTTATACAATCTCATCACTATCATATTCACAGTTACCGGTACAGTGAATCGCCCAGTTAGTAGTACCACTAGTGAGTGGGGCGACAGACTGTAGAATTGTTATTTCTACTCTCACAAAACAGGCGAAATTGACGGACTTGCCCCAAGATTCTGTTCCATTTCTTATCCTCTCGTTAAGGAGAATTTGATCCCATTTGTCATGCCATTGTCTATAATTTTTCAGGCCCGGTCCACCAAAATCAAAAGGTCAGTTACATATCTGAAATTTGTTAGCGCCTGCGCCGCTAGATTCCATTATGGCACCATTCTTCCATTCCTATGGTTATAGTGAACTGTCCAGTTAGTAGTACCGCTGGTGCGTGGGTCGTGAGGCGTCAGACTGTACAAATGTTCTGGCAAAACAGGCGGATTGACAGGGGCAGATTTCGAGATTTTGTCCCATTGGCTCCTATTTCTGGTTCTCTTGTTCAAAAGAATTTTCTCCCAGCAATGACCTCAAGTGCCAGGATATTGGTTCAATTTTTAAAAATGTTCTAAGATTGCTTAGTGTTATAGCCTGTGCCCCTAATTGTAACATAAACTTTATTGCAAAATCAATAACAATCATCATATTATATGACATATACTTTATGTCAACTTGAATAAAACTGCTTTCCGACGAGATAACAATCGGCGAACAACTATAGGTAATACGATTGTTCTACCGGAACGCCCAGTGTTATAGCCAGTTTGTTGACATTCAGTGTGGGGTGGGATTGTGGATGGCGCCCTAGATTTGGAACCACCCCATCCCACCCCCTATTCCTAGCTTCCAGATCATCTACTGGCCCCTAGAAAAAGTTATCATCTGTGGTGCTCGGCCCCTGACTGGAACATGTGCATCAGTCGGTCTCATTTTTGCTAAACACCCCCAAACAAAACCTTTATGTACGCCCCTGCCCATGGGGTATGTTTAGCCTCATTTATCGAGTCACTTCATTACAAATGACACTCGAAAGCAGGGGCGGATTGGGCCATCGGGCGATCGCCCGAAGGGCCGGTCGGACAAAAAATGAAAAAAATAATTTTGCCCAATTCGTCTAAAAATCCTTTTTCTGCTGAACATTATAGGGGGGGGGGGGGTATTGGACCGGCCATGGAGCGATGATGATCATGTTGTATGTGGCCGGTGGCTTTAACGGGCCGCCACGCCATCACTGGAGTCTAGAATGTGCTGGTATAATAGACTTTCTGGGCCGAGTTTGCTGGGTGTGGGCCGGAATTCGGAATCCTGCAATGGGGATTCCGAATTTCATCCGAAAATTTCATCGGATTCAGCCGACACTGTCGCCCGCAAATTTACTAATTATTAAATCACCTGCACCCTGTTTGGGCGGGTACGCCATAAACGTCTACCAATGGTTCGTATATCCCCAAAAAAGATTATAATCAGATATGCCACCAAATCGCATATGCCACCAAATCGCTTCGCGGTCAGTAAAAGGGACCGCTCCGACACGGGAGCCCGGTCGGGTTCCCGGCCCCAATCCGCCCCTGCTCGAAAGCATTCTGGGATGTGATTCGTGTGCCAATTTTAAAAAGCAAAAAAGTATGGAAAGTGGGTTATTGCAATTCCTTACGAATATTAAATTGTATCGATAATAACAATAATAATAATAATAATATGCTTTATTACACAACTGCATGATATACACGAGTATGGTCAAGCATACAATACAAATTACAATACAATAATAAACATCAAAGAACATAGAATAAGATTTACAGAGGTTTGTAAAAGTATATTAAATTATATTAATAAGCCTTGTAAGGTATATAGGCCTATATATTAGGCCTTACATAGCAAATGGTATTTAATGTCTATTTTTAAACATTTCATATACGAGCGCTGCAATCTTGAATACATTTATCAGCGTTCATTATATTCAGTATTGAATCATTAAAACTAGTTTTAATGTGATGACTTAAAAACTTTTTCCGAATATTATTGTGGACGGAGCAATGGAGAAGAACGTGCCTTTCTCCGCTAGTGCAATTCCTACAGGCCCTCTTATCCCTGTGGACAAAAGGTTTTTTTATGCCTTCCTGCCTGCATTTCAAGCTCATGTGCACTGAGTCTAAATTGGCTCAGTGCCCGGCGCTTTTGTTCATCTGGTAGATCCAGGTATTTCTCAGTATCATAATTTGTCTTAATTTTATAATAAAAATAATTTTTGTGTTAGTTTTAAGGCAATTATTTAAGTTCTTAACAGTTCGTCCTTTTCAATATATTTCCATGACTGAACATAAATATCCTTCAATCTTTGTTTGAACATCTGTAGGAAAGCATCTGTATTGAAAGATTGAGAGATAGGTTGTTCATACAACACACCCAGCCCAGTCTCCCCTAGGACATATCCAAGTTGATTACTCCATCTACTGCTGGCATTTTTCATTTCGCCCAGGGCTGAATGATGTGGTTGGCTTGTTTTGATTTTGACTCGATCCATGTCTTGACCATCCTGTATTTAACATCAAGAAGAATCGGGAATCGACCAACTTCAGCTAATACAGCAGAGTTTGAAATTTTATTATGAACACGCAAAACGTGTTTACAAAGATTTGCCTGCAGTTTTTCAAGCTTATAACAGTTTGTATGGTTAGATGTAATATGATGGCCCCAGGAATCGCATCCATATAATAGTATGGGTTTTACTAGGGTATCAAAAAGTTTTCATTTAATGTTCAAAGATACACCACATTTTCAAAAAGCTTTTAAAATTTTGAAAAATGCTTTACCGTTTAAACTGTCAACGACTCTGGTTAAAGATCCAGAACATCGTACAATTACACCTAAGCATTTGTATTCTTGAACAATTTCTAGGCAGTTTCCGTTAGTATTGAATTTTTCAAAAAGTTTTCTTCCTGGTTTATTAAATATCATTACCTGTGGGGTTTTTTAAATATTAATTTTATGTCTCCATTTCTTGCAATATTTATCAACTATATTTAATGAGGTTTGTAAACCACTACTTGATAATGAAAACAAAATAATATCATCATCTGAACGTGAACATAGCAACAACCAGCTAGCCACGAGTAACCTAGGCCTAGAGTAAAACAAGCATCGAAAGTGACTAGTATTCCTAAAGAGACCGGGTGGCGTCCTTACTGCGCTGCTGCGACCGTACGGCGACCAGAAAATGCACAAGGTCGCCGGCAAACGTGATCACAACACGAGAAAATGTCCCAAAAAAACTACAAACTTGAAAAAGGTCGCATTCTTATAGCTTTCCAGTTCAGATCGCAGAACCTTGGCGTTTGTTTTGAACATGGTCAAAACAAACGCCGTGGCTCGGCGATCATTGGCGACCATGGTGACCACAGCACGATAGCTGGCGTTTCTACCACGCTTATGGCGATCTTGACGTTCTCTAAAA